GTAAGGTCAGTTAAGGTTTTATGTCCCGTTGCCATTACTCAGTCAGACATCAAGAATGACCTTCAAACAAAGGATGTATCATTCTGTAAATACTGAGGTAGAATCACATGAACACACAGTTGAGTAGAATGAAATATATCGAGATAACAATCAGTATTCAAGATCAAAAGCCCATCAAAAAATACAAAATAGGAGCAGAGCAAACACGGACCTCCAAAACATCAGAGGTGGGATCAGGTGCCATGGAGAAGTGAGCATCCTCTGCAGACCAGTCACACCCACTGTGTGCTCCTTGTCACGACTGGGAAACAATGGAAAAATCCATACACAATTCAGTGTGTAAATAATGGCCTAACAATAAGTATAAAAATGTCAGTCAGCATTTTACTTAATGATAAATTGTATTTGCTGACAAGGTCATTGTATCGACCATAGAACTTACAAAATGATGACTTTAAACAAGACTGCTGATATTCTTGTTTCAGCAATTTGTTTGTCAATAACTTACCTCGTTTTAAAAATTGTTCATACATAGAGGATGCTCTTGCGTATCGAATCAACTGAGAGATATAAACCCCGTATGCAGGTGATGAAGGTATATTGCTGAATAAGTAAGGGAAGTTGACGATTGAAAAGTTAAAGTCATCACGTTTATCATAAAGCTTGGTTGTTAGATTACCATTAATGTAGAACTAAAGCAATACATGAGAAACAAGAAACTACACACATGTGACCTAAAGTCAGTGACCAGAACATATATTGATAAGCTTTTTCTAAAGACTGAAACCAATATTGGTCCTATAGGTCATCTCATATTTTTAACTAGAAGTGTTCCTTTGATATACTATATTTTACTTAATTTCTATAGACTTACTATACCCTGAAAAAAAAAAGGAAAACAGGAACTACCTGTTTAAATGACCCTGACCACCGAGGTTAATCTAAAGTTTGTCCCTGCCTACCTGAAAAACAGACTGCCTCGGGCAGTCAGTAATTTCCAACTCTGGTTATGAAATGCTAAATGTTTAATACTTACAATTAAATGCTTATATTTACATCTTTAAATTCATGATAGATTGAGAAAGTCGATAAAATCATTTCTATATTATGTCTGTATATTGTATAGGGGGAAAATAACTCGCGGTGTTAATATTCGCTATATTCACGGTGTGAATAAATCCGTGAATTCAAGAAACAGTGAATAAGTTTTCAATAACCTACATGTTATATTTGGAAATTTGAGAATAGACTACGATAGGTAAATATACGTGCAGTGCATGGTCATTTCAGTAATTACGAATCATACTTGTCATTCAGTTATTTTAATTATCACGCTTGACATTAATTTAGATCACTCAGCAGATAATAACCTGTATTTGTAAAAAAAAAAAAAACTGTTTTAATAGCCAACGCTACATGTTTCATCAATCAAAACACTAGGGTCATGGGTTTTGAATACCCGTACGTAACTATGTTATGACGTGTATTTGTTACCTGCATTATCATGTTTTTATCGACATTTTGGTTTTAAAAAATCATTCAAATAACTATAGAACTTGCTGATGTATATATAAATCTACCCTGTTGTTCGTGAAGTGAATACATAACACTGATTAATGCCTTCTAGCTATGCTATGGATTAAACGGATATAGACATTGAAGGGAGGTACATGTAACCTTTATTATATACCGATTCCACGAATTCAACAAACCGCGATCGTGTCAGAGGAGAGAAAAACATGAAAATTACAACCCCTGAAATTAATCCCCTATACAGTACTTCAACCAAGAAATTAGTTGAAACTGGTTCCAGAAAAGAAGCTGAAAATGTTCAATAGTTTACAGACAATACTTGACACATGATGACTGAACAAAAACAGATAGCAATAAGTAATTTAAATGACTCAGGTGAATTATAACCTGTTCAATCTTAGATCCATCTTTTTTCTAATACGAGGGTTGATCCAAAAGTTCATGGAATTTAATTATTTCTAAAATTTTATTGTGATTTGATGAAAGCAAACAATAGGCATATTTATGATATAGAGTCATTATGCAACAATACTGGAAAATTTCACCACATTCCAATTACCAATAAGGTCACATGAGCTTTCTGAACACTGATAGTTGTAAAATCCGGGGGAGACTTCGATGTAACGTCAAGTTAAGTATGTCATGTCATGTTATAGGAGCATCTCACCCTCATGTTCAATTCAACTAAGTAATTCTACAGAATATTCTGCCTTTTCCTCCTTTTTTCTCTCAAGAAAAGCCTGGGTATCCTCTCACACCAATCGACTTATCTTTATATTACACTCATATTTCAAAAATACTCCCCATCTTTCCATATGATGTTCCAATTTCAGTAGCAAAGTCCAGCACAGTATGTCAGCGGTCAACATCCATCAACGCTTAATTTGTCTACGAGAAAAACAGACCCTCCAAAAGTAGCCACACCCTTAATCAACCTCATGGAAGTTCTATTGTTCTTAAATTTCTCACGCCACTGGAAAATCAGTTGCTAAATGGATTTTTCTCCAGCCTGTATCAGTAGTATACCCCTTTAAGTCAGAGTGTTCCTAAGATTTTAACAAAACTTATAACTTGACTGAAATGTGACATTCTCTAACAATTAAAAGATGAACAAGAAATCATCAACTAATAATCTAAATATCAAGTTAAATCAGTAAAACTCTCACAGACAGGTATGTTAGTGGTCAAGCAATCGTAATAATGACAAAATTCTCATTTTATTTGCCACTTAGCGCAGGTTTTTTCTTATTTCACGTATTAAGAATTAAAATGATAATGAACGAGTAAATGTCTCCCCTGCATTTTAAAACATCCTTTGCTATGGCAACTGCCATAGAGTTACTATCATTAATATTTAAAATATTTTTTTATTTAAAAAATTCAACAAGTGTCTATATTCTTATTTGTAATTTTCAACCACTTTCACTAATAAATAAATAAAATAAGAAGAAATTCCATGAACTTTCGGATCAATCCTCGTACATGTCAGTCATTAAATTTATATAATATACCGCATGCATAAGGGAGACCAAATGTATTATTACTGCATTAAAGAGACCAACCACTATCCATATGTAAATCAGTATTCAACCACTTTCACTAATAAATAAATAAAATAAGAAGAAATTCCATGAACTTTTGGATCAAACCTCGTACATGTCAGTCATTAAATTTATATAATATACAGTATGCATAAGGGAGACCAAATGTATTCTTACTGCATTAAGGAGACCAACTACTCTCCACATGTAAATCAGTATATTTTTCATTTATTTCTTTAACATGAATATATAAAATACATAATATATTATTTTCTTTGTTGTTTTGCTTCTTTTACACTTTCTAGACCTAAAAATATTTACAGTGGACACCCAACATGGCTGCCTAGCGGCAGAAAATGAACTTCAAAAAGTTGTGGGGGAAATTGATCACTCTTTATATTTAAGGTTAATGTTGACTAAGTTGCATATTTTATATCTCAAATAAAAGATACAATTAATATTTTTTGAATAAAAAGAATCAGCTGATTGATCAAACCAAAGAGCAATCACAGATTTGGCAGAAAAAAAAAATTCACCCGGGGGTAAATTGAATTGGTCGGTCGGGTTAGTTGGATAGTATCAGATGCAGATGCCATTTTCTTTCATTAAGAAGAAATAAATTTTAAACCAGAAATGGATAATTCCGGAATGTATTGTATTAGAAGTATGTTTCCGATGATCAATTACGAAAAACTATAATCGATCATCGGAATCGGTAGCATTTTTTGTCGACAATCAATGTTTTCTGACTATCGGTACAACACTAGAAGAAATTCCATGAACTTTTGGATCAACCCTCGTACATGTCAGTCATTAAATTTATATAATATACAGTATGCATAAGGGAGACCAAATGTATTATTACTGCATTAAGGAGACCAACTACTATCCACATGTAAATCAGTATTCAACCACTTTCACTAATAAATAAATAAAATAAGAAGAAATTCCACGAACTTTTGGATCAACCCTCGTACATGTCAGTCATTAAATTTATATAATATACAGTACGCATAAGGGAGACCAAATGCATTATTACTGCATTAAGGAGACCAACTACTCTCCACATGTAAATCAGTATTCAAAACTTGAGATTTTAATACTCTAATAATTTACATGTTTAGTTACATGAACTAAATCTATTTACCTTTGTCATAACGCAAGAACTGTTTTACATTCAGCCAACTTTAACATTACACATGCATACAGCGTATGCCATGCATTAGGAAGACCAGATGCATTATTTCAACATTAAAGAAACCAACTACAATGGAACAATTAGACAGTATTCCAAAATGTTCATTCCAATACCATAGTAATTTCCCTTAATTTGTTTGTATTTAGATGACTTAAATCAATTTATCTCAGCCAGAATTGGAACAAAAAAGCTAATCATTAAAGTGGCCAAACACATGAACAGACAGATGGACATGATGATTCCTATGCTTATATACATCCAAAGTTGCCAAAGTAGAGCATATGCGGTGGTTAGAGCATCTACTCTAGAGTCGCGGAGAAAGAAGCTGATCCTTACATCGCGAGTTTGAATCCCACTGTGGAACGTGAAGACCTGTTCTTCAGATGAGACAGAGGTATTAACCGAGGTCCCATGTCACAGTAGGTGCTGGCTCGATAAAGATCCGTCAATGCTCAATGGCCGTAAGTGCTGAGTATAGGACAAAAATTTGCAGCTCTCCACCGACAAGTGGTGGCGTCTCCATATGAGTGAAAAATTCTCAAGAGGGACGTTAAACAACAAACACTATACACCCAAAACTTTGTTTGCAGAAGATTTTGTGATACATGCTTTACAAGTATACATATTGTTCATAAGGGAATAAAAATGCTATAATATATCACTAAGGAAAGCAACTGAAATTAAATGTGCACTTCTAATTGAACTAAACAAAATTACCCTTTGCCAGAATGTAGATTTATAAACAGGAAGGCTGTTTTTCTTCATTTTTTCCATGTCAGATTCAGACTGTTCTTGAAAAAATTCTGGCATACACCCTGTAAAAGTGAACAGTGCAGATAATAAAGAGCATCTAAATAAACTGCATAATATTTAAATGATCCACTTAAAAGGGATAACAAATGCATTTAACTCCATCAAGGAGACCAACTGATATCCATATATATATAAATCAGTACATGTATTTTAATTTTGATATTTTAATATCCTAGTAATTTACATGTTTAGTTTTATGAAACAAATCTATTTACCTTTGTCCAATGACCAATGAGCACAAGCACTGATTTTTCCTCTTTTTTCTTAACGGAATCACCAGGGCCAGTCTGGGGTCCATATGATTCTGGCATATGTACACTCTGTAAAATGCATATTTGTACCATGTACAGGCATATGAACAATATTTCTATACTACATACATGCATCATTAAACTTAATAAAAGATTAAAAGATTCCAAAATTCATTATTCATATATAGTGTTTTGCTGTTAGCAAAATTCAACAAAAACTATACCGTATATATACTTGCCTATAAGGTGGTCCACCTATAAGTCAGTTGTATTTTTTGAGGTTATTTTGGAGGGATTTGCTATTGACCCGCTTATAAATCGGTACAACTTTTTGCCAGAATCAATTGACAATTTCAAATCAATGCTCTGATGTTTTAACCTGGTTTCAAATACTAATCTTTTTATGACTCACCTATAAGTTGGACATAGAGTATATACATTACCTGCATTATACATGCATAAGGAAGACCAAATGCATTATTGCAATATTAAAGAGACCATTGTGGCAAATGAAATCAATGTATGAATTGTATTCAAAACTACAGGTGTACTAATTTGTCTGAAGTATTTCATGATATAATGTGATACACAAAGACTTTAACAGGATATATACATATACCCACATGAGATTTCACTGTTTAATTTATGAAATATAAAATATTATTTAAAACCTATAATTTATTAATATTGTGGGTCATCACCCCATTTTTTGTGAAGGAATCATGAAAGGCATTGTAATTTCAACTTGCTCACAGAGCAAGTTTTACACAGAGGACCAACTCTTTATTCAAAATTTAGTTTACATACTTAATTTTTTAACAATTAAGTTTAATGGGTTTAAAAAACTTCAAACTAGGTCAAAATACTTTGCTTTCTAAATATGGGCAAGAAATGTTCTTTTGCTTAAAATCACCTTAACTTCAGAAAAAAAAAACGCACAGTGCTCGTCCTCTTCAAATGCCTTGTTTGTAAATAACTGATAAAAGGTATATCTCACAAGTGCTTCATTATTACAAATGTCTTACAGTAAATAATATATGCACTACCACAACTTATTTCATTAGTAAGAATAAACCCTTAAGCAATGAATATAAATGCTGAAAAGTGGTGCATTGTTAGGAGTTGATCCTACTACACAAGTTTTGAGATTATCTCCATTGGTGCACTCTTTTGTTACAGAGGGGAGTTTTGTTTCCACGTTAGCAGGCAGGTGGGACAGTGGCATCTCAATATGAGTAAAAAAATTCTCAAAAGCAATCTTGAACATAGAAACTAACAAATAAATGCTGAAATGATACATTGTGATATGTAGGTATATAGGGTTGGGATAATACACAGACCTTATGATATGATACATATAAAATTTCAAAATGATTTATAAATCATGATTGTCAAATGTCAATAAATAACACAATAAAGTAGATTCATCATTTAGTGTAATGGCTAAGCATTCAGATTTGTTGTGTTTCTCATATATTGAAACTTTGAATGACACAGTTTGAAAACAAGCTGTCTTCTCTGTAGTAGCAGCACTAGTGAAGAACCCAACATGTTCCAAAACTTGTAAGAATGGCCTGATTTGAATGTGTAAGATACAGTTGCAATGCCAACCATGCCAACATTTGGCATTTGTTTATTTTTTAGTTATTTTATGAACCAGCAAAAATTAGGGCTGCATCAAACATATCGATACATATCTAGATTAATGAATATATTGTATCAAAAACAAGAGGCCCATGGGCCACATCGCTCACCTGAGCACATTGGCTAGGAAAAAGCACAAATCACTTCAGTATTGAAAAGTTTAAAGGGGAGGGGGCTTGGATTTTGAACTACCTGAGGATGCTTCCATATCAATATAACAAATGGCTTTACTGTTCTTGAGCAGAAGATTTTTAAAGATTTTTTTCCTATATATTCCCTTGTTAAAAATTTGATCCCCCATTGTGTACCCTCCCTACCCCCTCCCCCCCCCCCCCCCCCCCCATCATTTGAACAAACTTGAATCTACACTACCTGAGGATGCTTCCATATCAATATGACTAAACATGACTTTGCTGTTCTTGAGAAGAAGATTTTTGAAGTTTTTTCCTATGTATTCCTATGTAAAACTTTGATCCTCAATTGTGGCACCACCCTAACCCTGGGGGTCATGATTTGAACAAAGTTAAATCTACACTATCTGAGAATGCTTCCATATCAATATGACTTAACAAGGCTTTGCTGTTCTTGAGAAGAAGATTTTTCAAGTTTTTTTTTCTGTATATTCCTATGTAAAACTTTGATCGCCCCTTGTGGCCCCACCCTACCCCAAGGGGTCATGATTTGATACAAAATTGAATCTTCGCTACCTTAGGATGAATCCACATCAATATGACTAATTGTGACTTTGTTGTTCTTGAGAAGAAGATTTTTCAAGATTTTTTTTCTACATATTTCTATGTAAAATTTTGATCCCCCATTGTGGCCCCATCCTACCCCTGGGGGTCATGATTTGTACAAAATTTAATCTACACTACCTGAAAATGATTCCATATCAATATGACTAATTGTGGCTTTGTTGTTCTTGAGAGAAAGATTTTTAAAGATTTTTTTTCAATAAATTCCTATGTAAAATTTTGATCCCCCATTGTGCCCCCCCCCCCCCCCCCCCCCGCCAGGGGGTCATGATTTTGTACAAACTTGAATCTACACTACCTGAGGATGATTCCATATAAATTATGACTAATTGTGGCTTTGTTGTTTTTAAGAAAAACAATTTCAAGATTTTTCCTACATATTTCTATGTAAAACTTTGATCCCCCATTGTGGCCCCACCCTACCCCTGGGGGTCATGATTTGAACAAACTTGAATCTGCACTACCTGAGGATAATTCCATATCAATATGCCTAATTGTGGCTTTGTTGTTCTTAAGAAAAAGATTTTTAAAGATTTTTTTCTATATATTCCTATGTAAAACTTTGATCCCCCCTTGTGGCCCCATCCTACCCCTGGGGGTCATAATTTGAACAAACTTGAATCTACACTATGTAATGAAGGTCTCACTTAAGTTTCAACTTTTACAGCCCAGTGGTTCTTGAGAAGAAGATTTTTAAAAGATACCACTAAATTTTCACTAATTCTTAATTATCTCCCCTTGAAAGAGGGTGTGGCCCTTCATTTGAACAAACTTGAATCCCCTTTACCCAAGGATGCTTTGTGGCAAGTTTGGTTGAAATTGGCCCAGTGGTTCTTGAGAAGAAGATGAAAATGTGAAAAGTTTACAACAACAACAAAGACGACAACGACGACAGACAACGGACAAATTTTGATCAGAAAAGCTCACTTGAGCCTTTGGCTCAGGTGAGCTAAAAATAACTTAATTCCAATACATTTTGGGCAGGCAGTTTTTTTTATGTAATTCTGTGAAAAAGTTGGGAATTTCAATCACCAAAGATTATATTTAACTGTTTTGAATTAAAACTGATCAAAAATGATATAATCATTAAGGAGGTAGCACATCTTAGATGATTATTACAAAATCATAAAAATACATCTGTACATAGACAACTTTACTTAACATGTTGATTTTACAGTCAAGAAAAGTTTGAATTTGAAGTGTAATTTTTAAAGACGGTGAGACAAAAAATTAAAAATGAGTAAAAAACAATTATTTTTATAAAATTCATGCATAATGATTTATAAGACTTTTTTGACAGAATTGTTAAAGAATTCAATATATTGCATATCACATTAAAAAATGTCTCTTCTTTTTTTTTTTTTTTTTTTTTTTTGCTCAATACACAGCCCTAGCAAAAATGATATACAACAAGGACTTTGATTGGATTATTAACATTCATTCAACTGATCATAATTATTAACTGTTATTGCACTTTCATTTTCAAAATGTTGTTAGGTACATTGTTTGTTCATTCTTTTGCATTGATATTATAATTTATAAAAGAGTATTTTAGCAGAAAAAATTATCTATTTACCTTTCTTGGAATAAAGACATGTTGACCCTTGAGCTGAGATTTTCTCTCTTTCCATAGATTTGTTACACTGGGGTCCACATGACTCTAGCAGAGACCCTGTAAAAAAGGACTTAACTATGGAAAAGCATGAAGAATATATGCCTATTATACATATCTTAAATTCTAATGAAAACAATATTTTTTAATTAAGATCCATATATTTCTAGTGATTGACATATTACAAATTCAAAATAAAATATGCATGTCTATATTATACACTGTACCTTAAGCAGACCAATTGCATTATTACATCCTTCAGGAGACCATCTTAAATCAATGTTTGAGAACTACTTGTGAGAACAATAAATTTGTCTACTTTACAGTACTAAATGTACATGGAATCTATAGGATCATGTTACTTTAATTGACCTGCCTTAGTTCAACATAGTAATCTAACAAAGAAATTGAGCCAAAACAACATTTTAAGACTGTTTGAACAGTGCATGTTCCTATCATTTCAAAACCATTACCAGTAAAAATGCTAATAATAGGAAAATGATGACAATTAATTAATATTGTACTTTCAGGTATATTAGATGAATTAATCTGATTCGTCAAGAAACATTTGTTAAAAAGCACTATTATCCGCTGAATAATGAAGCTACGCCCAGTGTCGCAACAGTCAACATTGCTTGACGACGGGTGATATTCCAAAAAATAGTGACTGCGCAGATATATGCGCTCAAGGTTCACTATTATTTGTATTTGTATAAAACATATTCAGTATAATATAATAAATATTGCATGTAGTTGAGTGTAACATTGAAAATTTTCACCCCTCAAAAACCAAATACATCAAAAAGAGGATGGGTTTCTTTTCCAACTTCTACATAGTTTTGCCCCTGCAAAAACTGGTATAGACCTTGGCAATGTTTAAACAGGCTAAGAGAAATCAAATGCATCAAGAGTACTTAATTGTTTTTACCCAAGTTACATGCCAAAAAAGATTCAGAGAGACGTCACATAAAGTTAACGTTGATTTGAACTGAAGTTAGGGTGTCAAAAGTTATTCACGTCCAAAAGTGACATTGATCATGTGTGGTAGATAATAAACTCCTACGAGCTAAATATGCTGCCATAATCAAGTGAGGATCTTTCCCTAATCCTATATATAAATCCATTTACAATATTATATGCACTTAAGCAGCTGTTTATGACATTGTAAAATTATATAAACAAGACCAGTTTATATAATTTATACATGTATCAATTTATATAATTAATAATATCATTTATATAGTTTTATAAAGATAAGTGTATGGGGTAGAGGGAGCAGACATTGAGAATCAATGTTGTCGGACCTCATAAAACTAAACTAACAGTCTTCCAAATAACAGGGGAGTCCAATGCCAGGGACCTGTTAAATTTGCAGCCGGGCATGTAAAAATTGCCAAATTACATGTCCGAAGAGGGCATATGTGAATCTTCTTTCGTTGTACGATCTTTACTTGCCATTTATTCTGTCCTACCCCCATTATTCGCTTAAACATTGCTATATGTAATGTCGATGGATTGCCTGTCTACATTCTCGATACGACCTGTCAAATGATTGTCAATCTAATCATTGAAGTGTTTAGTTTAACCTATTTGTTTTCTCGAAGTTGCTTGCTAAATTATGAGATGTTCATCAATGCCACATACTGTGGCACTACAGTCATGATCCCATTTCAGAAATTCAGTTCAGCTTAACCGGCCAACAAATGACCAGCATGCAACTCAAAAGTTATTTATGAACAAAAACGCTTTAGAAAATGGTAATCACAGGCCATGGTTGGTTTACGACGCTGAAGAAATTAATATAAAACCTTTATACCTAATGGGTTTTTTTTGTTGCACAATACTGGTAAATGTAAGAATTTTGAGTAGGACATGTACAAATTTGAATGGCCTGGGAAAAAATGATAGGTCTACATGCCCGAAGGGCATGTGCTGAAAAAGAATTGTTGTGAAGACTGTAACTAAAGCGACAGCGCCAGGTGATCATATAAAGTCCCCTTTATTACATAAGTTGAAACCTCGTGACCTGTGAAAAAAATGAAATTTGTATCCAATCTAAAGTCTTAAAATGTATCAAGGTAATTTTTCGATACAAATTTGCGGTTGGGGTTATAAATGAAGGATAAAACCAGAGACCTAGGAATGGGATACTCGGAAGTCTCTGGTTTTAATCTACCCCCAACTGGAAGTTGTATCCCATCTAAAATCTTAAAATGTATCGAGGTAATTTTCGAGGAATAAATGAGTGGTTTACAATAAAGAGGCTCGACCAGAGATGTCTGAAACGATTTATTTGACAAGAAAAAAGTCTCTTGAAGCGAACGATGTCATTTAAAAGTAGGTTAATGATTGATAATGATACATGAACAAAATACGAGCTTGAAGCGGGGGTGCCTGAAATTGAGTTAGATATCTTGTGGTAAAAATAAGTAGGGATGCACCATATATGAAACAAGTGCCTGTGATTGATAGTCTGAAATTTCTCTTCACCTAAATATTAAAAGCTTGCAGTGATCGCTATAAATCTACACAACAGTCAAGTTACATACGGTATACTAACATAAAAACAAGATTACAACAGTCATGATTACAGAAGGTATATTTTGAAGACTCTAGGTCAGTAGGTGAATGTTAGATAGAATGTTCTATCGTTAAAATGATAATGTCCTACGGACCCGGTTTAACGAGGGCCTGTCCCGAGACACAGTTAGCTGGTTAGATCATTCTAACTAGGTGAATGTAAACAGGTAACCACATGTGGGACAGTCACCGCAAATAAATGAACCACAAAACGACTTATAACATTAAAATGTAAATATTCATCTGCACACAGATTTTTGCATAATAATAATAATTTTTAAAAAGTGTAAATTAAAATATAAAATAAACAAACCTCAAACCTTGCAACATTGAGGCTTGTTTCCCTGCAATCTTATTCTGGTTCTCTGTCGCTGAAAATGCAGGGAACCAGGCTGCGTTATTAACTCGTGCACAGATTTGTTGATACGAATAAACCTATAAACATATACGAAATAAAATATTATCATAAAAAATGAAGAATTTCAAATTGCTTGAAAAATTATCTTTATGTAGTTTATAATAAATGGTTGTAATTGTATATTAATTTCTATCTATCCATTAAAATTTGATACGTATATCAGCTTATAAATGTATCCGTCTGAACAATTATTGATATTACACTCCCTGTCACATCTTCATAGTTAAGCCTGTAAGCATGGTAAGTAGGAATCAATTTCAGTTGAAGGGGACCAAAACCAAACATTTTTCAGTTTCATTTGGTGGGGAAAGGGGGGGGGGGTATAAACCTCAAATGATCATTTTATCTCTGTCACTGAACTGCTGAAAATAATGAAGGGAACTAGGCTGCGACAATGATTTGTTGACTGAATTAAAATACGAAATAAATTATCATACATACGAAATAAAATAATTTCATGAAAAAATGAAGAATTTCCAATTGCTTGAAAAAAAGAAGCTTTTCATGTATGTGATTTACAATAAATGGTTGTACTTGTATATTTTCTATATATCCATTAAAATTTCATAGTATCAGTAGTTCACTATTTGTAAACATTAACAATAATATTAAATAAATGTTACACTCACAGTGGCTTTGACTGAGTTACTGTCACATCTTCATAATTAAACGAGAATATTCCCTTCCGTAAATATTGCTATATATATCTGAACTGTTACCAATTAATCTTTCTTTGGTGAAAGAAAACCTCAGGGATGGAGAATAGGCCCGTACGTAATTTAGTTGGAGGGGGGTGGGGTGTGTGTGTGTGTGAGCACAACCAAACAACATTTTTCAGTTTCAGGTTGGGGGTGGCTACAAACCAAAAATTTTTTAATAAGCAAAAGAAAAATACATTATCAGAGGTTATTATTGAGGGGGCCCAAAAGCAAAAGAAAAATAGATCATCAGAGGTTATTATTGAGGGGGCCCAAGCATAAAGGAGCAATGTTTTCTATAGTATACCTAAATTTCAGCAAAATTACAGGGGGCCTGCCCCCCCCCCCCCCCCCCGTTCCTTCAGCCATGTATTGTATTAAATCTGCTTCACCCTGATTCAGATTTTTTTTACAGCATATATATTCTATTAGCAGAGGATCACATTATATTAATAAACAATTATTAAATTACAGCTATTTTTTTTTCTTACAGTGTCTGTTTCATTTATACTATATCATGATGATCATGTCCTGCATGATGTTTACAGAAAGTTTAATTTAAATTCTTAAGCTCGAAATAGCTGCGTCAACTTGCGAGACCATTTTTTTCTACGTTCGGCCTAATCTTTAAATATTTAATTTGTTTGTGGACTTGCATAAAAGAATTAAAAAATATAGGGGCCTATCATTTAACTTTATTTCGAATTTCCTTCAGGATTTTATATACCGAACTATAGTCTAACGATTATTTAAAATCATACTTTTTCTCTTGAAAGCTAAATTACTAGGGAAAAAAAACAAAACAAAAAAACAACGAATGTTTGTCTTGTGTATTCTTAATTACAACTTATTACTGTATCATTTTAGTTACTTACCCAAATATATCAACATCCATGGTGTTCAGAGGTCATCTTCTGAAAACTGAAGGGGCATTCCGATGGCATTCGGAACAAGTGACGGAAAGCACTTGCTAAGAATTCAAAACATGGTTCATAAATTTACAATATTTTTCCTTTTTAGGTTTTTAACATAAAACATGGAAAACTAAGTTAAAGAAACACTCATTTGAACAAATCAAAAGCGGAAAAAATATATATGCTAGATTTTTTGTTTAATTGCATGTTTTTCATGGTCTCCAAATTGCAGAAAAATTATCCTTTGAAATTATACGTAGGTTATAAATTCTTTTCTTTTTTAGGGAAGATGTTAGAAATTAGACAACTTTTGAATGTTAAATAACAGAGTTAAAGATTAATAATACTTAATGGCAGACTGTTTATTTATCTATAAAAAGACATTTGCAATACTGATGAGGTCAAAATAATAGGGAGACCGAAAAAGGTCGCCTTAATCCAGTG